AGCGGTTCACGTTTTGCCCTCATCGGATTTCATAGAGTTCCTTACGTGTTTGAATATACCTTGTACAACTGTTCTCCTAGTAATGCTGTTGGGATGCATTTCTGACCCACTTGACAGGCCTGGGAAAGCTGCCAGGACTTCCTTAGATACATACATATGTACACTGAGATGTCTGTTGTAACAAGAGCTGCCATTGTAATCCACCCATCGTTAAAAAGAGGACCCTGGAAGTTTCTCACACACAAAATATTTGAGGAAATCAAGCAAAAGGGCAAAGTTTTCTGAAGGGGAGGGTTTCTCACAGGATTCTGCTCAAGTGTAGTTTCAAGGAAAATCTAAATACTTTTGTTAAGACAAGCAAGACATCTTGTGAGGAAGATGCACATCCCTAAGAAACAAACTATACCAGATGCCGGGACATCTGTGACTGGATCTCCCTGTGAGGTGTTTTTCTTTAAATCAAAAGCAGCCACATGTCTCCTGAATTGGATCACGACTATGGTACATTTTTTCTGTTCTTAATTACCTACACTGCAGAGCTACTATTTGTCAGATGGAGAAAATCATACAGCCATTAAAAATTAGCCCACTGGGGGATTTGATCATGGATCTCACTACATCTTATTTAATTTGTCCCTCAGTAACACAGAAAATCAGAGAGTGGTGTGTGTGTGAAAGAGACAGAGAGAGAGAGAGAGAAGGATATACCACTGAGCAACCAATGAGATGCCAGTGAGAGTTGGGCTCCACAAGCCAACAGGAGCTATGCTCTGGAGAGCAGCAGTCAGTTAGTAGTTTGACACTTAAATTTTGACAGCTGAAGCTTGGACAGATAGTGAGGGAGGTGCATTTGGTGGAAGTGTTAGAGCAAAGGAGTATAACAAGTATAACATAATAAAGAGCCTGCCTAGATCTGTTCCCCCCACAGACACGTGTACTGTTTAAAAACTATCCCTCCACTTCTCAATGTCCACTGTTTATACTTTCTTCAGTTTGTATCATTCATATACATGTTTGGTTTTATAAAGAAAACCATCTTGTCTCTACTGGTTTACCCCATACCTCAATGTGGGGGGAGGAGTTTATACCCAAGCCAGAATTTCTCTCTCCTTGAACCTTTATTCTCACTGGGATTTCTCAGTGCATGCAGGAAAGTGGTAAAGTGATAGAAAATCCTTAGGTTAGTATCTTAACACCAAGAAATTGTTGCAGTTATGTACAGGATTTTGAGGTGTTACACTATGGAGGATTTCATTCCGCAAACACCAATACCACATGAATATCTGAAGATTATATTTATGAAAGAATGTGTATGTGTGTACATACCAAAAGATCGGGCTAACACACACATAATAAGAATGGGCACATTTTTAAAATAGAAAGATGAACTCGAAACTATTCACAATTATAACTTCCTCAGAAATAACAGGCACCCATTCCTCCTCCAAAATTCAACAGAATATTGAATCTGCAGGCTTGTCTTTCATACGTTAATCCTCTGCCTAACTCCCTGGAGTACTATAGCCTAAATGATCCTTAAAAGAGAACAAAGAGAGATGAACTAGGTGTGTTGCTGCTGGCACCCGAAAAGAAGGGTTGCACTTGTGCTAACACAAAACCCAAATGTCCATCATAATACGCACCAAAGACTGTTCTTGCAGGGACGGATTCTCTGTTCAACCAGAATGACACCTGGGACAGGATGACAGTCATGATGCAGGGGAGGTAGGTCTGAATCACAAAATAGCCGATCTTCCTCTTCAAATGGAAATGTGCTGTCATTACTTTGTATTCACCTAGAGGGGAAAAAACAGAACAAATAACGAATGATACTATAAACCATTATGAATATCTCTACAATTGTTTGTTGTTGTTGTTTTAAAAAGAAAACTGCGATTTAACCACACAAAAGCACTGTGGCTCTGTAAACTGGGATACCCAAAGTTCAAAATTTATTTTTACTTTTTTAAAGCTGGATTTATTTTTACTTTTTTAAAGGTTTGAACAGCAGACCCATAATGCCATATGAGCCCCACTTTAAAAAGAAAACCGCAATTTAACCACACAAAAGTACTGTGGCTCTGTAAATTGGGATACCCAAAGTTCAAAATCCCAAAAAGCTTCTTAATGCAGGCTCAAAGACTTGCGTATGTCCACTAGCTGGATTTATTTTTACTTTTTTTAAAGATTTGAACAGCAGACCCATAATGCCATATGAGCCCCACACTTCTGATATCCCCATCAGTTGCAAAACTCATTTGCCTCACAGAGGTCCTTTCCGCACTAGACCTTAAATCCTGGTTCAACCCTGTCCCCGAACTTACATTCTATACATGCAAGTTCACCCCTGTAATTATCTCGGGGTATTTTTTGTTTCCACATTACATTGAAGTCACTCCGGTTTCGCACCACACTTGTCCCGGGATAAATGGATGATGTTATAACCAGGGATAAATGCAAGGTATTGTGTCCCGAGTAGAACGCTGATAAAACCAGAGATGAGATCCAAGTGTGGAAAGGACCAGAATGGTGGGGCTGGGCAGCTGCAGTTGAGAAACACTAGAGTAAACTCTTACTACAGCCCAAAGTCAATTGTGTGGTTCTTTTGAATCTGCCCTTGATTCTGAACATTAGTTTGCTATTGCACTGTCAGACTATTGCATGGTCTAGTAGATTATGATCTGGCATGTTGATACAGAAAATCTGAAGTACTATAAATTTCTTTCCTCACTGATCAAATTGTGTGTGTTAAGTGCCATCGAGACACTACTGACTTATGGCAACCCAATGAATGAATGACCTCCAGAATGACTTTTCATTAACAGTTTTGCTCAGGTCTTGCAAACTGAGGGCCATGGCTTCCTTATTGAATCAATCCATCTCATATTGGGTCTTCTTGATTTTCTGCTGTCTTCAACTTTCCTAGCAGTATCATCTTTTCCAGTGACTCTTGTCTTCTCATAATGTGACCAAAGTACAATAGCCTCAGATGAGTCATTCTAGAAGTTCAGGCTTGGCTGAATTGGCTCAATCCAGTTCAGGCTTGATTGGGTTTGAGGGGGGTGGTCCATGGTATCCATTAAACTCTCTGCCAACACCACATTTCAAAGGAGTCAACTTTCTTCCCATCAGCTTTATTTTCCAGCTTTCACACCCATACATACTAATAGGGATTAGGGAATACTATGGTATGACTTTCACACCTATACATACTAATAGGGAATACTATGGTATGAACTTTATTGATCTTGGTCACCGGTGACACATCCTTACATTTAAGAATCTTTTCTAGCTTCTTCTTGGCTGCCCTTCCTAGTCTCAGTATCATTCTGATTTCATAGCTGTAGTCTCCCTTTTAGTTGATGATGGAGCCAAGGAACAGAAAATCTTTTAACAATTTCAATTTCTTCATTGTCAATCTTAAAGCTGTGTAATTCCTCTGTAGCCATTACTTTTGTCTTCTTGATGTTCAGCTGTAATCCTGTTTTGGCACTTTCTGCTTTAACCTTTATTAGTAGTCATTTCAAGTCTTCACTATTTTCTGTCAGTATTAATTAATTGATATTTCTTCCACCCAGTGTGCACTCCACCTTTATCTAAATCTAATCCAGTTTATTACATGTTCTGCATATAGATTGAACAGATTGGGAGATAAAATATATCCTTGTCTTACACCTCTGCTAATTGGAAACCATTCTGCTTCTCCACATTCTGTCTTAACAGTCAAGAGTATAGGTTATGCATCAAAACAATCATAGCTTTTCACAAACTAATCAAAGTACAAATCCATATTAAGTAGAGTGCCTACCATAGAAAACAAAGCCAAAAGAGAAAAATTCAGAAACCAAATACAAATATATGCAAGTATTGGAGATCATATCTAAACATTAGATCCCACGCACAGCCTGACACTGTTGTTACATTTTTTAAAAAATCATTTTTACTACTCTTGGGCCCCGGTCACACAGAGCATTAGCCACGCTACAGAGACGGAAGATAGGCGGATTTTCCGGGCATGATCACAGCGCCACATCTGGGAAGCGTAGAGCTCCCGTGGCGAACCCGAGGCTTCCCGCCGAAGATGCGGGGTAAAAAACTAGTACCTCCGAGGTACTAGTTTCCGGAAACCGCGGGGTAAGGGCGGGCGTCTGATCGCGTTTCTGGTGGAATCCTGTGGCATCCAGCACCCGCCCATGTCCCGTCGCAAAGAAGTTTTTTTAAAAAAAAGTCTCCACAGGATGCGTACAAGCACCCAACGGCGCAAGCGCATACTTGGGTTTAAAAAAAATAAAAAACCCGTTTGCCATGTCAGCGCCGCTTCTTTGCCGCGCCGTCTGATCGGCACCTCCCTGGGCTCCCCCCCAACCACCGAATGTCGGCGGGATGTGTGATCCCGCGGCCGCGCGGTAGTTCACTCCGGGGCAAACAGCCATGCCTCCCCCCCACGATATCCGGCCCGTGTGACTTGGTTTGTTATTCATCTTACTAACCTGTACTTGATTTGCTTGTTTCCTGTCCAACTGTTTGACCTAAAAGATCATACTGATTCAGTCTTGAACCATCTGGCGCCACCTCTACTGAATTAGATGCATTGTAAGTCCACTTGTAGGTCACTTCTGAAATCGTATATGCATCTGCAGGGAGGGGGAAAAAGATGATGTTTTATCAGAGCCAAAAGTTGTTGTTGTTGTTCAGTCGCACAGTTGAGTCCGACTCTTCGCGACCCCACGGACCAGATCACGCCAAGCCAAAAGACAGATATGTATTTGGTATGAGACTCCCAGGATACTTAGTAAAGCCTCTGGATTAGACGCATTCTCTAACTTTTAGAGATTTTGTATTATCTTGGCTGTTTAAGAACACAGAGAAAGGGTGAAATCTCCTCTCCATGGGCTGGATTCATAAATGGAAATATAAATGGATTTAGTGCAGTTCCATTTGTCCAAAATCTTGCACAACACCTAGCGCTTTCCTCATTAAATATTATAGTGCCCAGAAATGATTGCATAATAACTTTCACAAGATCTCTAGTGCAAGTGGAAAATTTGTGCTGGATCCAACTTCAGGTTGTATCCATTACCTTCTGCTCTGCTAGATGTCTTGAGGACCTATATGGGTGGAAAGGCCATTTAAGTCCACAAAATAAATTAAAACATAAGTAAAAGCCAGCTTTAACAGAGTTTGAGACATAATTATTCCACAGAGAGCCTTCTTTTTGAGATCCTCATGGAGTAGTGGTGAGAATGTCTGCTTAGGACCTAAGTTTGAATCGTCACTCTGCCAAGAAAACTTGGTGGGTGACTTTGAGCCTGACCTACCTCACAGAGTTTTCATTTTGAGGAAAAAATGGAGGAGAGGAGAAAGATGCAAGTCACATTAGGGTTGTCACTGGGAGAAAATACATTTGAAGTGTGAAAAATGATTATCAGCCTTTTTAGTTCTTTAGGATGTTTTCTCCTTGCCTTCATAACACGCCATATAGTGACACTATTTTTAAAAAATGTTATTAAAATAAACAAATTACAGATATATACAAAAATACAAAATGTTCATAAGATACAATTGCCAGTTCCATTCTTTGTATCGCTCTTGACCATAAAAGGTCTACGCTATGTTTATCTCTATTTTTCTGATAAGTGGTTAATTTCACTAAAGTACAGATCTCCTTAATTTTCAACAACCAGTCGTAGTTTAGGTATATATATTTTTTGTTTTCACTGCCTGGCAAAAACCAGCCTGGAAGCAGTAATCATATGTAAGGCAACCACTTGCTGATCTCTAGGGCTATCAGGTAGGTAATTTAGCAGCAATGTCTTTGGTTTATAGGGGATTTGTTTTCCCAACCCAACTGATATAATTTTCACCACTTGTTTCCAATAACTGGAGGCACTTATGGATCCCCACCACATGTGAAAGAAATCTGCCTTGTCTTCTTTGCAGAACCAGCATAAGCTGGTACCAGTCTTACTGATCTTTGGCAATAATTTTGCATTACAATATTGGAATGTTCTAAGAACAATGCAACCTAATTAGCTTTGGCTCTGGATTTTTCAGTCTGATCAAGCCAACTGTAAACTAAAAATGAATAGCAGATGAATATATATTTCATCTGTACTACCCTGAGTCTTGCTCTACCATATTAATCTTAACTAATACTTGTTAGACCACTAGTTTAGTTCAAAATAATAAAATGGCTGTTGGCAATTGCTACAAATACAAACTAGTAACATATACACATACAGGGAGAGAGAACAGAAACGTAAACCACTGATCTGCAGTGGGTCTGGTTCAACCATATTTACATTTCTCCTTAGCTGCATTATTAAAAAAAACCCTCCCAGAATTAGTTGAAAGGCTATGACATTGACCAACAAAATAATGCAGTCTTTGCAATTTGAAAAATATAATAAACAATGTAACACAACACCAACATAAAAGATATAAATCATAATCCACAGAAGCTACTGTGAGTGCAGGTAAGAAAAGTCCTTACATAGAGTCATATGCAGTTTGTTTTGCTCAAAAAATTCCGTTGTCTATCCGCTTGCATTTTTCCAGAACCTGCATAAAGTTGCAAAGTTGTTGCTCCCATATCTTTGCAGCACATGAGAAATGAAGAATTGGGGCTATAGCTCCAGTCAATTCATATATAATTTTGCTTTATGAACATATGCTACTTCATATGATATATTAAATATGATAATACCCCTGGAAAAGTAACCCTACATATACTTTGATTGTTTCCAGACGACTATGCAAAGACAGAGAGAGATCTTAAGATTTCAGCAGAAACTGTCAAATCAGTGTGCTGACAGTGAAAAATACACATTCTATACTAAAAATTATCAGGAAAGGTATTTAAAAAACAACAGCAAGAGGTTACCTGAAAATATCGAACACAAATTATGGGAGAATAGGTATACATGAATTCTAATGTACTTTATGCTAATTTCAGTTCTTTGGTTGCTGTTTTTAACTTAAATGTGCCACCTCACTATCTGCTGGTTTCAATGAGTGACTTTGTATTTTAGAGGGATTTTTCCCTCATGTTTTATATGCATTGCTCATGGTTTTATACATTTCTGTCATGTCCTCATCTTCTTCATACTAAGATCAATAAGGCACAACAATTTAAACCAAGGAAGAAATGTCCACTCTTAGAGCATCTTAATTGCCCTGTTTTACACTTTAGCTCAGGGCCCCCCAATCTTGTTGATCCTGTGGGCACCACCACAAAATGAGGCCCAAGGCCAATCAAAATGGCTGCTATAATTTACTAGGGCCAATCACATTCATAAACTATATTCATGTTTTGTCTTGCCATTATCATTTCCAGGAGACTCTATAATAACAGTTCTACAGAAAAATGTGTCATTCTCCATTAAATGTTTGCAGCTCTAATTAGAAACGTATGTAGTTTTGTATTAGTCAAAGGAAGACAATAAAGAGAAAATAAATTTCTTTATGTCACACACACACAAAAAGACTAAGTGATGACGTGATCTCTGACTCACAAAAGCTTATGCTGGAATAAAGGGTTAGTATTCAACTTGCCACCATATTCCTATTCTAAATGGGTGTACTATGACATTACAATGCTTGGAATGGCCTTGGCCGCATGCCACATTTTCTGGGACCTTTTCAAATCCCACTTCTTCTTTGCCACATTTGTCATACTATGACTGTAGAGACTCAGGTTAAAATCTCTACTCTGCCGTGAAACTTGTTGGGTAACCTTGAGCCAAAAAGTATCTCACAGACTCATAGAGATGTGAAGATATACTGGGAGGAGGAAACCATGTATGCTGCCCTGACCACCTTGGAGTAAGGCTGGAATTGTTATGGCTCCTTTTCTAAATGTTCAGATTTCCAAGTGAAATAGCTTCCTTTCCTAGAATTTGTTTTTAACAATAATATGTTTTTAGGTAATACCATTTCTCGCAAGTATTATGAAATTCTCATATATATGCAATTGGTACTTAGTTCTTGTTACTTGTTAGTTCCTGTTGCTATTGTTAAAAAAAAAAAGAGTAAGGCTGGAATAAAAATGGGAAAGATACTAACTGCAGTTAGTTAAAGCTGGTGAATCAGTTCTGCCCCTTCCTGGAAAAGCCAGATCTGGCCACATATCACGCCCCGCCTCCTCTCTCGGATTCTGATGTCCTCTGAATGCTGAAATTGTGAATGTTCTTCACGGATCGCACACATATACAACTACCTACTTGGTATTAGGGTATACTTTCTAGGTTGAAAGAAGTAATTTGTATGTACGCATATGTAAGTTCTGACAAGTTGCAACTGACTTATAGCAACTACAGAATTCAAGGCAAGTGAGAAGCAGAGGTAGTTTGCCATTGCCTTCATCTGCAGAGCCTTCCTTTGTGGTCTCCCATCCAAGTACTGACCCTGCTTAGCTTCTGAGATCTGACAAGATCAGGCTATACCATGCTACCTTCCCTCAAAGTGATTTGTAGACAGGTGTAGTCTAGAAATCTCCCAGTAATTAAAGGACTGGTTAGTTGTTTTCTACCCATCCAACCCATCCAACTTTCTCACTACAGTTTTGAATCTTACCCCAAATTCATATGTCCAACAACATCTCTTAGAGAGACGATTAAAGGGACACTAATTAAATCAACAAAGTTCTTGTAGTATGATCATAAGCCAATCAGTTTTCCATATATTGCAGATATATTTTACGTGAAAATACTGGATACTGCAGATGTATATTGCAGATATATGGCTTCTTCTATGACTTCTAAGCACTCCTGTGTTTGATAACTACTGCACATGAAAATTGGAGATGGGAGGAAATTATTGGCACTAAAAGCTCAATGACATTTTACATTTAGCACATAGTTAATTGGTATGTTATTTGACTGTACCTACAGCAGATATCATGTCATACATATCTATTGATGTGTAGAACTGGACCCCCTGCCCATGACATCATCAGGCCCCACACAATGAGTCTCAGATATTAGGACAGAACTCGCAGCTGTAGTCCTTTCAATGTATTCATGCCATCTCATTAAATTTATGGCCACCAGCCTGTTGTGTCCGCTGACCGCCACCAGAGGTCAGCGAACACTCCAGAGCTTGAATCTGGAGTAACAATGGGGACTAGGCTCCTGGTCTCTCCACTGGGGGACCAATGGGACCGTGGCGGGAGATTTAAACCCACCAACGGGACCTAGGGGTGTGTCCCCAGGTATGTATATAGTTGGCCAGCCGGGCGTTTGTCTTTGTCTTTGTTGTGTGCCAGTAAACCATGTTGATTGCTACATGAGTCTCCGTGGTTTCTCCATGCGTTTAACCCACTACCACTTCACAGCCCGAAGGAAGATGTCTATTATTACAGTCTATATCCACATTGCATCAGATACTGATGTTAGTGCTAGATTTCTTAGATGTGTAACTCTCCAACTATAACACCTGGTTAATGCATTGCAAGAAAGTTTGTGATGAATTAGGCTACACTCTATTCTGAAAAATCAAGAACCCAGGGAATTAGCTGTAGGATAATAGAGTGAGAAATAACACCCTCAGAATATAATGTGGTACATCATTGCTGAAGCATTCACTTGTCAAGGCCAAGTGGAACATTGTGGCGTTGAACTACATAAGGTATTTACTAGCCAGAGGCCACACATTTAGCCATGTTACTTACAGCTGCCAAATTTCAATGGGCATGAATGAGCATCCATAGGGAAGTCTTCTAAGTGCATTGGACATTCAGCCTGGACCGTAAGCCTGGAAGGCAAAATATGCACTTCAGTCTGCAACTGAGAAGTCAAGAAAAACAATTCAACAAAAACTAGCGAATTCATGCTGGCCTCAGAAATAAAGCTGTGATTACAGCAAACTAATGAAAACTTAAATCATCCTTCCTTCATCCTTTGTATATTATGCTGTCCTTCACAGGATTCTGCCTTACCATATCAAAACTTAAAAGGAGCCACTTGAACAAAACTATTATGTAGTTCTAAACTGTCAGGTAAACTTCATGGGAATATTGAGCTGCTTGCTCGTGTGTCGAACGTGCATGCCTTCAGAGATAAATTGTGTTATTTTCCCTTTGTTGTGGTTGTTATGACCAATCAAACTATACTCCACAAATAGGTGAATCAAAGCAGAGACAACTTATGAGGTCAACATCATAAAGGCACCATCGTTACCTTAGGCTACTCACTCCACTAGTAGCGACACAGAATATGTACAGACTTCTAAAGCTTACTTTCTTTGTAGTGTTGAAGATAGATGACTATCTGCATAAACGAATTTCACTGTGCGCTATTAGAATGGGTGGTGTATGTGCGTGCCTTATAATGCTAAGAAAAAGCAAAAAATACGTAAGGAACACAGGGTAAAGACTAGTATAAACAACAACAAAAAACACTGTAAATATGTGGTGGTTATGTGATGTTTCAAAAAAAAAAATTGGAAATGGGTGCACTGTATAATGGAAAAAATAGTAAGATGTAACATCCCCTTTACTCCAGAATTGCCATTGTTAAATATTTTTCCGAAAGAATTCGAGGCAACTGATAGATGCCTGATTGTATACATGTCAACGGCGGCAAGGATATTATATGCCAAATATTGGAAGACTCAAGAAACACCAACCAAACAGGAATATATTAATAAACTCTTAGAAGCGGCGGAAATAGACAAATTAACTATGGAAATGAGAGGCACGAAGAAATGGACATTTCAAAAAACCTGGAAGAGACTATATGATTGGTATAATGTGAATGGACTCAAAGATTAAGCTGATATGGCAAAAATAATATTTGAGTATGTAGTAATATATAATAGTGGAATTAGAGAATATTAACAAATATTAGAGAATAATGAATCGATGGATTAGGTATAGTGACAAACTGTAATTAGTCTCTTGGTTATATGTTGTTTGTTGTAGTTGTTTATGTCTGTGTTAAGGAATATAAGAAAACAATAAATGTGTACCCTCGGGTACTAAACAAAACACTGTAAAAACAACACTATTTTATAACTTGTGTTCTCAATAATAACAATGATGTTTTTGTATGTTTTGCCAATCTCAATAAAGTTATTCTGATAAACTATTTCTGCTTGTTGATTCTTAAATTTAACGCACAGAACAGTTACAAAATAATCAGATGTCTGAAAAAGATAAACAGAGCCGGGGGGGGGGGTAGAATTTTTCTCTGTGTCCAGTGCTTATGTGGAAAAGATAGTTTGCTTTGCCATCATGGCCATCTTCTTAACATACAGGAAAAATGTCCTATTGATGAAGTGAAAGATTGAGCAAAAGGGTTAATAACTTGACACTAATACATAAGCAGCGTGCTGGGAAAATGAGCAGAAAATGATGAAGGGGTGTACCTCATGGTATACAAGAGTGTCCCATCATCTTGGATTCGTAGCAGCTTGTTTGGCATAGTCATGTTATGGGCTACTGACTTTTTCCCATTGTGAAAGAATGTATCTGGAGTCCAGATTTTACTAGCCATTAAGTTGTTCAGTCGAAGAATGTTCATTGGACCCTTAAACTTTAACCTCTCGTCTTTCCACTTTTGGCGAAAGAAAACGTCTATTGTATATTCCTGTGATGGAAAAAATAAAAATGTCTTCAATACAATTATCATTAATCTCTTTAAATACAGAAACAGCATCATGCAAGCCACTTTGAGTAAAAAAAAAGCAAGGGGTAAGGGAAAATAATAATTAAGTAAATAAAACTTCAAATTTCAGTTAAGAGATATGCATATTAGTGATAACGAGACCCAAATCTAGACTAGAAGTACATTTTCCTTTCCTGAAAATCTAGTTTGGTTCCACAATAGACTGTGACACTCACTTGGTGGGTCTGGACAGCCTTGAAGACACCAAAGTCAACATATTGCATTCCAAAGTTGTTTTTTTCATCTTTTCCAGGCTTGATTTGTAGTGATTAAAAAAAACAAACCACTTGAAACATAATTTCCGCATGATGATATTCCACCTAGACAGTCCAAGTGCCATTTAGACTTCCCAGGGCAACTGTTCCCTTAAAATGTCGTCTTTATTTCTCCTTTCATGTTATTTCCTGTTTCTTCCTGAAGTTGTATCAGGTCATTTATGAATTCACTGAAAAATTATCAGCTCTTGCTTTAGGAGGAAGGGGAGGCTTAAGTATTGCTTTGCACTTAACCAAACCCACCGCTCTTTTTAGTGGTCATTTTGTAACTGTTATAATAATAATAAACAAAGCATAAAAATACAAGCTATGAATTTGGCTGGCTACTAAGTAGAAAGCAGCATTAAATCCTTGCTTCCTCCACCTTCCCAAAGCTCCAAGAATGGATAAATTAATGGTTTCTCCATGAGTGTCACAGGAGAATTAGAGCCAGCCAGTGGAGAACAGGAATTAATTAATTAGGCTGACAACAATGGGACAAAAGTAAAATTATAGGGATAAGCAGGGCCTTTCCTGAAGGGAATTTATGTCTGAGGCTGACAATTGGCAGGAGGCGGACCAGTCGGGTGGGGGCCCTTGCTGATTTAACCATAGAGTTTTGGCCAAATGCTAGAACATCACTAGTGATAACATTATATCACTTCTGGGCATGCCATAAATGACATTACCACATTGCCTGCAATGCCAATTAGCCCCAATCCAATCCACCCCCCCTTTTTCTCTCACCACTCAGCTAAACAGTGTTGGTCATCCCGGGTCCCAAGGATGTGAAACTAGTTGTGACCAGGGCCAGGGCTTTTTCGGTGGCGGCTCCTACCTGGTGGAATGAGCTCCCGGGGAAGATCCGGGCCCTGCGGGACCTTGAGCAGTTCCGCAGGGCCTGTAAGATAGAGCTCTTCTGCCAGGCCTTTGAGTAGGAGCCACCGCCCCATTATA